GTGTGTGTGTGTGTGTGTGTGTGTTTATGGGAAGCAGTGCCATCATGTGAGCTGGAGATGCTGGTACACTGTGAGCAGCACGTAGACCAAACGCTCTCCAACCTCAGAAACCACAAACAGCTCATGGGTACCACCGTCCAGGAATATTTGATCAATGTGTCACATTGACTCACAGTAACTCAACGTTACTCTCCTGGAGGTCATCTCTTCATTACTGTAAATCCTGTCCCTGTTTTTATGGAGGAATTTCATTTTCTGCACTATTCAAGTGATCCTGAATGAAGGACTTTCCTCTTTGCTATTTCTTTTTATTTTCATTCACTCATCATCAATAATATCTTGTTTTATGAGCTATTTCACAATAAGCCAATCAAACATTAACTACTGCAACATACCATAGTAAATACACGCTTTGATCATCGGCAGGTTTAAAGATCTCCAGACACAAATGACATCAAATCTTGTAAAGAAGATATTTTACAGCATATAACTTTTAGATTATATGCTCATGCTGTTGTTGAGCCGATAATTACTCATGTAGATTATATGGATATCATCCTGTTGTGTTTAAATCAGAGAGCAGTACATATGGATGAAAGCCAGCACCCAAAGTCAACAGTCTTAACTCTGCTGAAACAGTCAGGAGAAAGCAATCTTAATCGCACTTTCATAATTGACAGGGTTTTTTTTTTTTACTAAACAAGTTTTCATTTGTATGGTCTTGTCTGTGTTGAATCTGTCTATGAATATTTGACTAACCTTTTCATTATTTAAATATAAAAGATGATGCCATGCATGTTTTAGCACTTCCAAATGTTTGTTCACTTCCTTAATATTTGAATAAAGGCTGGAGAAGAAGCAAGCTTGCTCTTAGACCAGCAGAGTTTTACACACAGTTACGCTGATGGATGCTCTGATTTTACAGTCACAGGCAGATCTGCTCACCTTTACTGCGTTGGGCATCCCTCTCACTGCTCTCATCTTCCTCAGCGGAGGATGAAGATGCTATGACTAGCACCTGGAGATGAAGGACGAGGAGTATATCCAGCAGCATGCTGACCTCCGCAGCACTAGAGTTTTCCACAGGTATCTTGGTGTTGTTTCTCATTCACACACAGCATCTCAGCCTCTGCTTTAGTGACTCAGGGGTCTGCCGACTGGGGCCGGGCTTCACAGAACAGACCAATCACAATGCTCAAGCTGCTCAAGGTTCCAGGACATCTCTCTCTCTCTCTCTCTCCATTTCTTAGAGTTAGAGTGTAACCAAATCTCTCACTCTCTCATAAACTAAATGCCTCCCTCCTTCCTTGATCAAAGTTCAGTGGGAATAAGCTACACACTGAGTAGCTAATTCTGTTAAAGCAAACACTGTAAAAAATCAAAAGTTGAGAAAACTTAAAAGTTTAAGGCAACCAGCTTCAGGAGATTTTTGAGTTTTCTCAACTTTTTGTTGTATAAACTGAAAACAACAAGTTGAGAAAACTCAAAAATCTCCTCAAGCTGGTTGGTTTGTTTTGTTTGTTTGTTCGTTTGTCAAAGAAACCAGAATTCCTTTGCAAAACAAGAATGATTTGTCTTTTGCATAGTGAAAGTCCAACAAACAAAAAAAACAATTTGAAATGTCAATAAATAAGACATTGCATTTTTTGCGATAACCAAATTTAATAAACAATATCTGAATATTTATCAAACTATTTCACGGGTTTTCATCCGGTGTAAAACCAGTGTCAAAGAAACTATGGATGATCTGTTATGGCGACCTCTGATGGGAGCAGACGAAAGAAGAAAAAGGAAGAGAACATTTCACTGAATTTCACTTGAGTGCTTTAAAACTTTTTTCTTGTCACTTCAGTGGACCTCTAATTCTAATCCATGTTAACATTATTTACTGAGTTTGTAAAGAAAGAAAATTAATGAAATGATAGAAAGCATTTAGAATTATCCACCAGTGTAAAAAGTACATCATAGACAGATCTTTTCGAAAATTAAAAACACTAAGTTTGTGTTGTATTTGTAAGAGTTGAGTGGATTTGGCTGTAAGTACAGTATATGGCTGTCTAAAATTAAATGTTTTGATTAAAGAATGGCATTTCTTTCGCAGTATCTATAAGGATATAAATCCAGTTTACTGGTGACCAAGCTGTCATTCACAGAGAGGTTCTTATCAGTCATCAGTTCAAAGATTTTCACCCTGTTAAAAGATCTAGTGGCCACCAAAAGAGCGAGTAACGCCATGTTTAACTGTTTTGGTGAACAGAAAGGAGTGACTTCAAAATGCCCCGTCATCACTCACACCCAGATCAGCTCTCAGAGTCTCAGCTAACCAGCCGATGAGTTGAATCAGCGGTGTTTGATTAGGACTAAGATTGAAACGCTGCAATCCAAAAGCAAATAAAGAGTCCAAATTTGTCATGACTGCAAACAGTAATGCATCAGCATCCCTTACTCAAGCTCTAATGGTGGTGCCACATACACTTTCAATGAACCAAACCCAGTTTGGTTGAAGTGAACCAGAAAGACGTGTCCTGCTGCTGGTGTTCACAATGTAAGTGGACTTAAAGGGGGACTTTTTCTTTTATGCACCAAGAGCTTGTAACACTCTAAAGAGAAAGGAAAAAATGAAATCGCATCATATGACCCCTTTAACACTGACAGGCCTTCAATTCTTCCCAACCCTTCACTTTTTGAGAAAGGAAAAACTTGAATAATATGTTGAGGATATCTAATGCAATTCTCTCTCCAGATATCAGTATGTGCATGTGAAAAATCTTGTTTTTGACGGAAGCTGGAAGCTATCGATGGCGAGCCTCAGTACTTCTGCCATACGAAATGTTTTCACCTTCACATTATACTAATCAATCAAACCACAAAAGGACCCACGAACAAACTGTACATGGGTAACATTCTGAGGTGGTCTGAGTACAGTTCATGTCCTCATCTGAGATGATTTGAGGTATTCACATACACATTATACCGGCCTGAGAACGCTTGAAGTGCTCACTAAGGGTAAAAACTTCCTATATGAAGGGTAATTGTTCACAAATTTAAATCTGTCTAGTATGTGGCAAGAAGGAAATCAACATTTGTGATAATGTCGAACAAAAACAGGCTTCATTGAGGCTTTTGCAACAAGGGGGGAAAAAAGAAAAACAAAAATGCTAATGAGAATGTAAAGCTCACGCAACTCTCCCAACGTAGAAAACACACCTTCACTTAATCTACTTGAGAATATTATTTCAGAATAAAATCAAATGTAACAATTTATTATCAGTCATGTATTATGCCAATTACATAGCCAGAGATATCAAATCAATACAATACATCAAATTCTCAAAGATGAATCTAAGAGTAAGATGCATACCTAACTAAAAATACATAGTATAAAGTGTGTGGACATACTTCATACTATTGCTGCGTTCAAGTCCTCCTGGGACGTTCGTACTTACGAATGAAATCGCATCATATGACCCCTTTAAAGTAAATTTCGAGTTTCCCACTTGTAATAACGACTTTGTGGTGGTGTTCATGTGCGTTCAACTCGTAAATACGATCTATCCGACATGACTTGAACGCACCATTAGGGCTCGTTCTGACTACAGAAAAAGCCCTGATCTCCTTGCAAGATTTCCTTAAGTACTCAGACCAAGACAAGTATCCCCCAAAATGAAGACAGGAACTAACAATTGGAATTTGCATTGATCAAGTAGGGTTAACACCTTTTGGGACAGAAGGTAATTTGCATGATAGACAGTGGGAAATGACACACCCTCTACAGCAATCAACTTATCTCCAAACTCTTAGGATCTGTGTTACCGTCTTCTAATCTTGATGTCTGTCTGTCCTATTGTTAAGATAATGAGACCTTTACCAGACACACAGAGACCTTTCAAACAAGAACAGTTGCATTGTTATAAACTCTGATCAAAAAAAAAAAAGTGGTTTCGGTGATCTCTGTAGAGTCGTGTGTTTAGATGGAAATGAGGGCAGAGCGAGTAAAGGAAGTGGATGTGGAGAATCATACATAAGGTGTGAAACTTTTGTGTTGTCTTGAATGAGGATATTAGGCTTATGTCAGAGTTCAGATGTTGATCCTCGTAAGAGTTCTGTCTCTTTTCAGACTGTGGCCCTCCTCTGGACCAGACAAATAGCATCAGCCTTACAAAGAACTCACTCAGCTTTTATTGGGAATAACAGTCAAGTCCATCATGGGATGTCCCTATAGTGAATGTCTAATAAACAGTCTAACGTCGTAACCTCATGTGTCAGTCTGAATAGTGAACAGACCAGAGTCCAAAAGGTTGAACACGTATTCAGAACCTTGGCACAAACTCTGGGCAGAGCACAACACAGACAGGCCAAAAGAAAGACAAAGCTGAGATATATCACTTCACACATAGGTGGCACAAGACAGCAAACAGAAGCCTAAAAAATAGACAAGAATCAAATTCAAACCAGGTGCCACAGATGAGGTGTAATCAGGCTAATACTCCTGAGAGAGGAACCCCATCAGCCAGGGCTGCGTTTCCCAAAAGCATCGTAAGTACGTAGACCAGGGGTGGGCAAACTTGGCCCTTCCAGGCCACTTTCCTTCAGAGGTTAGCTCCAACCCTAATCAAACACACCTGAACCAGCTAATCACTGTCTTCAAGACTACTAGAAGGCTACAGGCAGGTGAGTCATATCAGGGTTGGATCAAATCTCTGCAGGAAAGTGGCCTGGAAGGGCCAAGTTTGCCCATCACTGACGTAGACCCACTAAAACCAATGGAGCTACGATCAACTTAGGCTTACGATGCTTCTGGGAAACGCAGCCCAGCATGAGGCACCTGTCAAAATCCAAAACGAAACATGAGGGAATAAGAGCCAGAAAAAACAGCACTGGGGTCATGACAGGATTTTAATCAGGGTCCACTAGAAGTGGAGGTAGATTCAGATCAGGGATGGGCTACTCTGGTCCAGAATCACACTGTTGCTGGGGGGTCTACTCCTGCTCCTGCAGAGTTTAGCTCCAACCCCAGTTAAACACACCTGAACCAGCTAATCAAGGCATTTAGGACCACTTCCAGGCAGAGCTCTGCAGGACACTGGCCCTCCAGGAGCAGGAGCAGGAGCAGGAGCAGACACCCCTGCACTATTGCCAACACTACCTTATATCAGGTAAATGCTGGGATCAGCTCCATTATCCCTGCGACCATACATTGGACAAGCAGTTAGAGCAGGGGGTCTCCAACCACATGCCTGGAGCCCAAACACATCTGATTCAGCTCATGAGTACAGACTCCAAGACCTGAAATGGGTGTCAAACAACACTCTTATAAAAAATAAAGGTGCTTAAAAGGTTCTTCACAGCAATGCCATAGAAAATCCATTTTTGGTTCCACAAAGAACCATTCAGTCAAGAACCGTCTCTTTCTTACCTTTTTATAATCTGAAGAACCTTCTTTCGCCACAACGAAACAGAAAGCTTCTTCAGATGTTAGTTAAAGGTTCTTTATGGAACCATTTAGACAGAAAGGTTCTTCTATGGCATCGTGAAGCACCTTTATTTTTAAGAGTGAAAGGAGAGATGTGCAAAATGTGCAGTTTTGGGGGGGCTCCAGGAACATGTTTGTGAACCATTGAGTTAGAGAATGGATGAGTCGTCATTCACTGCATGGACATTTCTGAGAACTCAATAACTGCAGATGCTCAATTACCACACTTTAGCCCATAATGCTCATGTTCAGCAGAAATACATTACTGAAATACTGAAAAGAACTGTTGTTAAAGTCTTTGGGCTGAAAACCTTTCTGTCTTTACAGGGTGACCAATACTTGTCAATATATGAAGCAAAATTATATTCTTTCAAGTGAATTTGAAACTAGTACAAAGCACGGCCTGCCTTGTAATCCTCATTATATAAAAGCTCCACTGAGAGAAATTTTAATGAGTAATGTAACGAATCAGCTCATGGGAAATATGAATAATTAATCATAACTAGTTATAATTAATTATGAATATTTTAGAAGGGGGGTTACAGAGTATTTGTTAAATATAAAAACAAAATATATATTGTGTGTTTGAGTGGTCCAGACGCTACAGTAACTTCTGTCATGTCAATTACAAATGAGATGTGCAAGGAATCCAGCTGACAAAACAATTCTGTCCAATGAGCTGGAATGTGTTACAATCCACACAATCATTAGCCTGAATGATTTGAAACTGTTATTTAATTTATTTTATGTTTAAGGTGTTTAAGTATCTTGTCAATAACATTATGTCGGAACATTCCAAGATAAAGTTCAGCCGTGAATAAACACAACAGGAACTGACTGCAGGGGCCCGTTCTTCGTACTTCGCTTAACACATCAGAGCAGGTTTAAGTTTACGGACCTGTTGCTATGACAGCAAGTCCAGGATGAGCTTCAAAGAACCAAATAATCCAAGATCATGCCAAATCGTCAACAATTTAATTCAGCTAACTGAGTTAGCGACGTACGAAGAACGGGCCCCAGGATTATTCCACAATCCCTGGAAATTACCGTCTTCTCGTCGAGTCCTAATATTTATTAGCGGAGCGGCAGTTCTCCAGTAGTGTTCAACACCACATGATCCAATGATCACGCACTTATGAAAGTGTATTTTCTGATGTGGCGCACTAAAATTACAGTACAGTAAAATTTTCATTCAGCAACTCCTAGTGCAATTTGAAATGTTAAAGGTCCCCTGAAATGCTTAGAAACACGCAGCTGCCTTATAGATAACCTTAAGACTAACATATTGATACTAACACCCAAAAAACGTTCATGATTTCATGGGGACTTTAATGATTCATCATTTAATCTGTCACAGATGCTGTCCATCTATCCATTCTCCAAAAGAGACTCGTAGACTGTTCACAAACTGGGGGGAAAAACAGGATGAAGTTGGCAAATCTACAGTACCGCACGTGTACAGTACAGTACGTGTTTTCATAAAACAGTGCGTAGTCAAGAGTCTCGTGCATAGCCAGTGATGCAATAGGAAAGGCAGCAGAATCCTTATCGGCTTTTTTAAAAGTTAAAATAGACTTGTTTTCACTGGACAGAGAAAGACATTAATCGTGCTTACATTAATGCTGGTGCGATGCATATCCCACATCTGCTGAAAACTGTAGACTTGAAGTTCTCATCCAATGTTTCTGTTGGAAAAAGTTCCTGTCTAAAAAATGTCAAATAGGATTCTGCCAACAGATGGAATAACAGCGCTTCTGAATAGAGTTTATCCCGCACACTTTTAGCTTTTCCCTCTTCTCCAGATGACATCTGCTGGTCATAAGTTTGCAGGTTACTTCACAGCATTAAAACAACTGACAGGTGGGGGGGGGGGGGGGATACATTAGGCAGCAAGTGGAAAATGGGCAAGCAGATCTGAATGACTCTGACAAGGGCTAAATAGATCCTCACAGCATCAGAGCATCTTCAATACAGCAAGTCCTGTGGAGTGCTCCCGGTATGCAGTGGTTACCAAAAAAAGCCCAAGGAAGCCTCAGGGTTATGGGCCTCAATTTTTGATTATCAGCAAAGACTTATGAAAATGACAAGTAACATTGTCAAAGTGATACTTGGTTCACTTCTCACTGAAAGAGAATGTTTTTTTGTTTTTTTATGTGGAAAGGCAAAATAGACTATCACTCTTTAAGAAACTGTCTTTATTTACCAAAAAATGAGAAAGAAAAAATGACATTACAAACCATAGATAATGTGGTTAAGCAAATCATGTTGCATAATTGTAAATCAGCTTACCACAGATATCAGTGCCATTTCACAGAGAAAATATTAATATAGTATAGTAACCATGTGGAGGGTGGGGAAAACCTGGGCAGCAGTTGAAGCATGATACAAATATCAATGAACAATGAACAGAAAACAAACAGCTTGACAAAACAACTGAAGACATCATTTAAGGGAAACATGGATGAAATGTCATTTATCAAACTGCAAATCCAACACAATGTCAAACTGAGCAGACATTTGGTGACTGAGGACTTGATAAAGTATATAGTGCTTCAATGTGTTTTCCTGCTTTTGGACGAGTAACGTGTACTATCTGTACAGTACCAGTCATGTGACGCTCTGAAAGCATGCTTTTTGAGCAGCTTCTTATATTTGCTTTATGTTTAACAGCAAAAACGGCAAACAACGTACATTGAGCCATAGAAATTCAACATACAGCTGGACCGATTATTATTGTAACATCTGAATTCACAATGAAGTAAGAAGAGCAGAATACACACTTCAGGGGCTCCGAACCAAACTACTGTTAAGTGTGTTTCAGACTAAACGAGCAAGTTCACCAAGAAACACTTCTCTTTAGTGACAAAATGATGCACTCATGATTGCGCACACGTTTTAGCATAAATATAAAGTCTAAAAAGAACTCAAGCTAACAGCATTCCAGATGAATAGGAACTGACATATGTGTGTGAAAAAAGGAATTATTTGGATTTATCTGTAATCTTGGTCCAACACACAATGCATCTCGACTAACAGGTTCACAGCGCAAGATGATGCACTTGTAGATCTTAAGGAAATTTGCTGCGTCAAATCTTTTAAAAACCAGAGGCAGTACAGCAGATCTTCAGGACTCGAAGCAGGATTTCATGATGGCCTCTCTGTCAAATCTGAAGCTGAGAAAAGAGCGCGAGGAGAGGATGTATTCCCCGTAACACAAGTCTGCCTGTCCGTTACAGCCATAGACGTCACCGGATGCATCTGCAAAAACAATTGTAGAATGACTGAAAAATATTGTCCACAAGCTGTTGAAATTCATGCACGAAATTATTTGAAGAATAAACATAAGGTGTGATAAAAGGCAAAAAGGTCACACAGCTTTCTATTGGTCAACACAGCAAATCCATGTGACCAACTTGAACCTGTTGTGAAAAATCCTGATCACAAAAGTAAGCACACCCTTTCTCTCATGCATTAAGTGTTCAAACATTAATAAAGGATATTTGTGAGGATTTTGCTTTTGATCAAATACAATTCTTTTGATTTAGCTATAAATCACAAATCCCCACTTCTAATCCCTAATGCATCATTTCTTGAAAAGCTTATTTACCCGTGTCAAAGTTATCCTGCAGTCTTCTGGGTTGAAGTTTCTTCTCATCGTTCTACAAAAAAATAGAGCGTTACACAACTATAACATCTATTGTAATGCACAGTAAATAATGTGTGGAGCTACTTACCTGCTGCTGGCTGACACCATTAGCTCTTTTATTCAGGTTTGGAGACTCCTGGTGACAAGCTGTTGAAATTCATGCACGAAATTATTTGAAGAATAAACATAAGGTGTGATAAAAGGCAAAAAGGTCACACAGCTTTCTATTGGTCAACACAGCAAATCCATGTGACCAACTTGAACCTGTTGTGAAAAATCCTGATCACAAAAGTAAGCACACCCTTTCTCTCATGCATTAAGTGTTCAAACATTAATAAAGGATATTTGTGAGGATTTTGCTTTTGATCAAATACAATTCTTTTGATTTAGCTATAAATCACAAATCCCCACTTCTAATCCCTAATGCATCATTTCTTGAAAAGCTTATTTACCCGTGTCAAAGTTATCCTGCAGTCTTCTGGGCTGAAGTTTCTTCTCATCGTTCTACAAAATAAATAGAGCGTTACACAACTATAACATCTATTGTAATGCACAGTAAATAATGTGTGGAGCTACTTACCTGCTGCTGGCTGACACCATTAGCTCTTTTATTCAGGTTTGGAGACTCCTGGTGTTTCTTGCTGTTGCCTTTCACATGATTCTGCAATGAAATAAACCAACCGATCACTACTAATCACATTACTAACTAATGTGCTGCTGGCATGTCAGCGTTACTAAAAGTGAAACAAACTGTGAATAAGATCTGAATTCAGTCCTCATGTGGATTTCTGTACAAGCTTTCTTTTTTCTGTACTACGTAAGATTTTGGGTCATACTGCTTACACCTACCCGTAATAGCGTTTTTACACAATATTTTGTGATGTGAACACCTACCTTGGGTTTAAGCAGGTCTACTAACTCACTCTGGGCGGTTTGTCCAAAGGGTTTCTGTGGTTTTTGCTTGGACCAGCTTTCAGGAGATGCTTCCACCAACATCTGAGACCTTCTGGGCTTAGAGCTGAGCAGAGGAACAACAAAAATTAGTGCATGTCATCATTTCAACAGTCACCTAACTGCTCGTTCAATGGCATACAGTAATAAACACTGCATAACTCCACAGAAAATCATATACTTCAGGTGTTCTAGAAACAAACACTATGCCGGGGTCCTCCAGACTATGGTTTGGTGCCAACGGGCCGTGAAACACAATGACAACGGTAGTTTATGGTGATGATCTTTTGGTAAAATAACCTTTAATATTTTAAAATGCACTTCATTTAAGCACCTTTTGCTCTGTGTCTATTGCATCTCTCCACCAGTAAACACAAAGCAGCAAATACAATTACAAGACCTTTTTTGTCTACACTTAGCAATATTAATCAGCATGTTAAGAGCATTTCATAAAAAAATAAAAAATAAAAAAATTTGGAAAAATTGTTTGCAGAAGGCAGAAAAACGCCCAAACGGTTTATTTTCTCAGTCACATGGCCTTCTGCCACACATAGGTATCTAAATGTAAAAAAGTGATAGCCTGATAAAACATCTGATCTTACCTTTTAATACTCAAAAAAAAAAAAAAATTTGTTGCACCACTGGCTTGGTTCAATATCCACATTTTTGATGATTGTTTGGGATTTTCTCTTTTACAAAGTGGAAATTCATAACTATTCCAAAAAAAAAAGTATAAAAAAAATTAATTAATATTACAAAATAAAACGGCTGGACCTACTGGAACTTTATTTTAATACCCTTGTTACTATGCAATACATTATAATATTTGAAATGTAAATGTAATATTTCATAGTCAATTTAATACATAAATCAGTGGGCTTTCTGTACGACGAGTCAGTCTTAGGGCCCCACACTTAATGAGAATTAAGTTCAGCCTTCAGATAGTCAACAAATAATGTGAAAGAACAAGAATTAGTCTACTGGCTCATATTTGACAATTGCAACCCTCTTTATGAAATGCACAACCACTCAAATATTAAATTCAGTTGTTATTGGACAGACTAGCCATCCTGGTCCATCCCTACTATAGTGTTTAAGCACCATAATTCTACTGCACTACTAGCGCTGCAAAACATCACATCTTCACACACACGTGAAAATGCGATGGTGAATGCTTTCTATAGTGAGAATGATCGCACCGGAATGGTTTGCCTGGTGTGCTGCCATTGGACGCAAAATCCTCATCGCTGCTCGTTGACTCTCCTTTGTGTTTGGCAATCCACTCTCTGAGCTGCCTGCAGATGAGCACATTACACCTCACACTCATACTCCACACAACAAACAAAACATGAACATGGATCACTCTAGAACATCATTAATGAGAAGATGTACCTCATAAATGGAATAGCCATAAAAAACTTGTTAGGAGCCAGTCCAAGCTTGGATTTCGGGGTCATATCGTTCCTGTGGCAAGGCAGTTTATCCACTGAGAACCATTCAATGTTCTATCAGGAACCAAAAGAGCAGAGAAACACAATCAGAGCTTTAGACAATCAAACACATGTGCTTCTATAGAGTATTAAAATGTATACATACCCTTATCTCTTTTCTGGTCTTGGGGTTGAACTTGGTGTCTTTAGGAACTCCTGGTATAATGTACAATCGAACCAACTGATCTGAAATCCTCTGTTCAATGTATGTTTTTTGGCAGATACGATCTCGGATGTCAAAGCCTGTCTCCTCCAAAACCTGCAGAGAAATCAAACAACCTTAACAGTGGTTTTCATTAAACCAAACCAACATTTATATCTTGAAAGCGGCATACTTCTCTAACAGCGCAGTCATGGAAAGCCTCATCTTCATTGACTTTCCCTTTAGGAAAACCCCAGCCAGACTTGGCCAGATAACCCTGGACCATCAACACCTTCAGGTAAAAATAAAGAATGAATACATGAAGGTTTCTGCACCCCTTTTTTAAAAACGCATAACAGTTTATGATGCTTCCAAGCAGCTGTATACTTACATTGTCAAGCGTTTCATCAAGAATAATGGCACCAAACGTAGGCACACCCATCTTATACTCTTTCCACTGCTCTAAAACCTTCTGAACATCCTCTCCATGGGGCAGCAGGAATGGACAGTGATTAAAAAGTGATCATAACGTTAAGGAGACACACAGAGAGAAAGAAACCACAAAAACATTGCTTTTTAACCAGTTTCTGGGCATCCCAAATTGTCCCTCCTTAACATTTTTGTATCGATTTCAATCGTTGACGAAAAGGTCAATAGATTTTTGTCATTCAAAACTTGGGAAAAAATGTTGTTGAAAAATGTTGTTTTAGAAAACTATAACCCTAACCCTAACATAATGAACACTGCTGACAATTCTCAATTATCCAGAGTTAATAGCTATGTTACTGCAGTATCCATGAGACTTTAAAATGCTCAGGGTTGCCAGGTTTCCATAAATCTAAACAACCCAATCTTAGGTTCAATCCTGCACTTTTCGGAAACATTATACTTTGCATAATCTGACAATAAAGATCATGCACTCATGCAGCAAAGTTCTCCCTTATATCTTTAGTTTCAATGACGGTTGCATTACATGAACAATTAAGGTGGTGACACACACTTTAAGAATTTGATCACAATTTAGGTTTAAGATACATTTTAATACTCACATTTTGGTTTAAGGCCCATTCACACCAAGGACGATAACTATAACGATAAAGTTCTAAAAATCGTTCTGCTATAACGAGCTGGAGAATTTAAAGCAGCAGACGAGCGCGCGCTTAGAATAAACTGACTATATCGTCCGCTGGTGTGGACACTAATATAGTTATCTATATATTTATCATTCTTGGTGTGAACGGGGCTTTACTGTGTCAATTGCAGGTCCTGATGTCTCTAATTGTTTATTTCCCCATCTTACATAGTCGTGCTAAAACTACTGTATATACGTGCTTGTCACCTTGAAGAGTGTTTGAACTATTAGTTAGATGTTTTTGATGTCATTAATAGATTTGCATGAAGAGGAAAAGGTAAAGTTCTGTGGGATTATGGTTCATGAGGTTCCTTTTTGTTGCAAATTAGATTTTCTGTACATTTGCTATAAACGCCAATACATAAAGTATTCAAAAGAAAGATCATGTGCCCTTTCAACTGCTTTTCCGTTATTTGTTTTTCTGAATCGTGCAGTACTTTAGCTCAACTTATGTTGCTTTTTAAATGAGCTAAAAGTGTGTTTTGGGGTATGTGGATCTCTCCAGTGCAACTTGTGCTATTTGGTGCAAGCTAAATTTTTCAGTGACATAATAATGAATCACCACCATTGTTAATTGCTCTAACTTTGTAGATCAAGAAGGAATCAGCTCAAATATCCAATCAGTTTAAACACTTCAGAAACACTGTGCATTTAGTCTGTGCATTAGTAATGGGGATTTTCTCTTTCTGCAGTGCTGAAAACCTTTCCCACCTCTTTTCTAAGGCTACTGAACACTCAACAAACTCAGTACTCTCTCTCAGAAAGTATGCTAGAATATAAACAGATCTCTTTAGGATATCAGCCTTGGCAAAGTCCCTTATCCCACACTGAGGTAGTCCTGGTGAATTTTGCATGCAGAAGTCCAGGTAAAACCAATGGGCAAGCTCAATCTGGAAGCAAACTCTGATGGCATTGTCCCTCTCCTCGCTGGGGATGTGAAGAATGAAGCGACTACAAGACAAAGCACAGAAAATACTGAAAACATGAAGCCTGCATCATGAGTCAACAGCACATTTAAGGATGATTTATGTTCAACACAATGGACTACTTGCATTGAGCTTTGTGACATAATTCATAGCATTTTAAATAATGTGGCACACTGAAGAACTCAATCATCTAACAGATCTAAGAATAAGGTAACCTTAAATAGTAATAATAATCTGCACTCTCATTTTCTACCTTCCACTAGCTAGGGATCAGCTAGAGACAAAACAATGAAAACCTGATAAAAAAAAAACTACAACAATAATAATAATAATTAAATACAAATATGGAAATCACATCCGGATTTGTAGGTGCGTAGATCAAGAAGGAATCAGCTCAAATATCCAATCAGTTTAAACACTTCAGAAACACTGTGCATTTAGTCTGTGCATTAGTAATGGGGATTTTCTCTTTCTGCAGTGCTGAAAACCTTTCCCACCTCTTTTCTAAGGCTACTGAACACTCAACAAACTCAGTACTCTCTCTCAGAAAGTATGCTAGAATATAAACAGATCTCTTTAGGATATCAGCCTTGGCAAAGTCCCTTATCCCACACTGAGGTAGTCCTGGTGAATTTTGCATGCAGAAGTCCAGGTAAAACCAATGGGCAAGCTCAATCTGGAAGCAAACTCTGATGGCATTGTCCCTCTCCTCGCTGGGGATGTGAAGAATGAAGCGACTACAAGACAAAGCACAGAAAATACTGAAAACATGAAGCCTGCATCATGAGTCAACAGCACATTTAAGGATGATTTATGTTCAACACAATGGACTACTTGCATTGAGCTTTGTGACATAATTCATAGCATTTTAAATAATGTGGCACACTGAAGAACTCAATCATCTAACAGATCTAAGAATAAGGTAACCTTAAATAGTAATAATAATCTGCACTCTCATTTTCTACCTTCCACTAGCTAGGGATCAGCTAGAGACAAAACAATGAAAACCTGATAAAAAAAAAAACTACAACAATAATAATAATAATAATAATTAAATAAAAATATGGAAATCACATCCGGATTTGTAGGTGCGTGAATGTTGTTACACCGGAAATGCGTAAGCCGTACCAAATAGAACACGGAAGTAGTTCTATTACAAGTAGTCAATTGACCATTCAAGACAAAACATTAGAACATATGAACAACAATTACTACTATAATCGCCAGCATCATTATCATCAGACGGTTGACTTTGGGGAACGTTATTATTCACGTTTGGAGTCTAAATACCGCCTATTTGGCACGCGTCCAAACCCGCAGCTGGAAACGCTCATGTGATACACAAATATCCTCAGGACGCGCCAATGATGTACAAAACTGCAGCTGACTCGGAAGGAGCCCACTATACTCCAAAGTCTGCCTGTTAGCAGCTTCGTAGGTTTTGCAACGCAGCCCTACGGAGTCCGTTAAATTGCCGTTTAACAAAGACAGCTACGAGTTATTCGGCCTCGCACAATGATATAAATGCACATTACACTTATAGGTGGTTTTAAATAGACAGTCAGGTGTAAATGTATGCTCTCGGTTTACCTGCAAAGGTCATCCAGCAGCCCGTTAGGAATCTCCCATCTTTTTGTCTCCATGTTAAGTGTAAAAACATCCCGAACAAGCAAGACTAGTGCGTTAAAAACAGCGCAAAGCTACTAACGTTACACTCGCGTGCTTCGCATTTATAATATGTGGCAAAAGTACATGGTTCTGTACCATTCGAACGCTTAACAATAAAAGAGCAAGCAGTGCTGTGAATTTATATCGACGACGCTGATGCTAGCATGCTAACGAGCTAAAAATATTGCGCCGCCTGAAAAACATCACAGTAGGCGGGACCAGAAGCGTCAGCCAATGAGAGAGCGCGTAACTCCGCTCCGAGATCTCTTGACCAATCACATCGCTCTCTACATAACGGACATCACCAAGAGACCAATCATAGTGAAGTTCGCAGAGCGTTTTAGGAGCTAGCAAGTTTGTCTTGATTGCTTGCACTACGCGATCATACGATGCGTTTAAACGGTGGAAAATTATCACGTGGCTTTTCGCACAGTCAAACGCACTATAAATAGATCTATAGGCGTATCTCATTTAACTTTAAATTTAAAAAGCAAATAAATAAATCTTTCGCGGCGGTCTGCTTTACTCCGCGACGAAGGGTGTGGTCGAGGAAGTGGCTCCGTGACGTCACAGCCTCAGCGCGCACTGAGCTGGCGAGAGCTGCTGTTCAGCGAGTGTGTTTCATATCGCAATAACTCCATCACCAAGCCAGACAAAACCATGGCGCACGGGCTGAAAGAACGCTTCGAGAAGTTCCTTTACGAGAAGAACCTGATGACGGACGTGCTGGCGAAGATCGAGGCGAGGACCGGAGTGAGCAGGTCCTACATCGCGTGCGGTGAGTGCTGATGCTCTTATAACCAGGAACACATGTGTGCTGTAATGTCGGACTTCTAATGCTGTTTAAGCGAGAATACGCTTCTCATATCACAGAGCTATGGAAGGCCGTTAGGGCCAAAACCTATCTGTCTTCCCTGACATGTGGTCTTTTGTCTCGCAGCTGTCGTCTTGCTCGTTGCGGTCTATCTGGTGATCGGATACGGTGCTTCTCTGCTCTGTAACCTCATCGGATTCGTCTATCCTGCGTACATATCGTGAGTTAAAGCTGTAGTCGATCTTTCTTTTTAATTTTGGCATCACGCGGCAGTTTGTTACGTCATCTTAACGGTTGCGACGTATTGACGTCATCGCAGCAGGAAGTGCTCACAGTAAAATAAATTAAATTCTTTCGAAACGGTTTTTGTTGTTATTGTTGTTCATATGGTTATTGTTAGTGTTTTATTTCGAATATCTTATCTTACAGTTGTAATATGTCATTATGCACCATTTCACAACAAGTATCATGAGTAAGTAATAAGGTTTGCGCATACAAGCACTCAGGATTCAGTGCTTGGTTTTAAGCATCACATCGAAAATGAAAGTGCATATGCAACATATTTATATGAAAATTCATTTTTGTTCATATTTGTATGCGTAAACTCAGAAACAAAGCTTTAACAGTATTTAGTGAGACAATGAGCAAAAGTAGGCAGAAGCCATGCTTATTACACCTACACTACAATTTGAAGATGTATGTTCATTCAGTCTTTTATTAAATATTTTTATTTTTAGTCGTCCATCCATTAAGCATCACAAACAGAAATAGACATTTAACAATATCTTGTCAACAACAGCTCTTAAACGGATAATTCAACAAAATTGAAGGAATATAATCTTTCATTAAATATAATTCTAATATAACATAATATTATGAAAAAATATATAATATTTATTAATGTCTGAATTACTGATCATGTATAAACGTATATGGAGAAAAAGCACAAAAATAATGTTAAAGAATACATAAAGGATCTGCAGTTTATGCAAGTTCATTTTCGTTTGCAATGTTAATGAGGTTATTATTAATGTGATGTGCAAATGCCTCTTTTTGTTATTATGGGATTAAATAAAACATTTAAAACTTATTTTTAATTAAGCATCCAATACAAGGTATCAGTACAGCAAGACAAATTGCATTTTTGCATTAAAAATAATAATTTACATACAATGTATTTGCCATTTCTACTCTAAATTCACAAAACAAATGGGTAACACTTTATTTTAAGGTATCCTTGTTACACGTTAAATGTACTTACTATTATGATAACAATACATTATGCATGCAAGTAACCCTAAACCATAAGTACTAGTGCTGTCAAACGATTAATCGCGATTAATCACATCCAAAATAAGTTTTTCTTTACATAATATATGTATGTGTACTGTGTATATTTATTATGTATATGTAAATATTTTTTGTGTGTGTATTTATATTTATATATTTATATTCTTATATTTTATACTATATATAAATATATTGAACATATAAACAACATATTTTTTTAAAATATATACATGCATGTGTGTGTGTTTATATATGCATAATAAATATACACATATATTATGTAAACAAACTTGTTTTGGATGTGATTAATCGCGATTAATCGTTGGACAGCACTAGTAAATACATGTAGATAATTAATATTACTCGGTATTTAAAGGTATAATTACACTGTAACAAGGACACCTTAAAACAAAGTGCAACCAACAAATGTTCTCGCCATCTGTTTGCATGATCACTAAACACATTTGTCCTGCAATTGATTAATTGACAATCGTTAAGTTTATTCAATACAGTGTTAATGCTGATCAATCACTCACTCAACGGTCAGTCATTAACATCCCTCATGCGATTGCATTCAGTCTTTGTCATTGATTCATTTAGAACAAAACACCACTACTATTCTGATCTGGAGTTGTTTGCAACTCTATTATTAGAGATAAAATGGACAGTGTAATTGCTAAATTGATCACTTCTGTTATATAAGACCAAAAATCACACTCATAATCTAAGTATATAATCATGGCTGTCCATCTACGAAAAGTCCAGGCAACCAGAACATTCAAGCTTTAAAAAAGTTAATAGAAACTATGAATCTAGTCTGCCGAGGAGACACGATGACTTTATATAATGAACAGACTCTCTGAGCTTTTCTTCACACAGAAAGATTGATCAACACATCAAACATGGTCAACCTTCAGATTTCAGCCCATTAAACACACACTGTTATTCATGTAATTATGAAGATGCGTGTAAATCCCCAGTCTTGTGCCATCCTCCGGTGAAACGCGGAGGCAGTTCAGGGTTAAAGACGTGTGACTCGGTCTTCTGCTGCTCGCTGAACCCAGACATCACACACCAAATTAACCCCATAAAGCCCGCTCTGTCATATGTGATGCATGCATTTCTGTCCGAGGCCTCGAAATTATCAACATGATCAAAACTTGGCTAAAAAACCTGCTGTACACAATCTACTACATGCCTTCTTAAAGATAGTTCACACGTTTTTAGCAAGTAAAAAGCCCTTAAGTTTAACTGTACAAATATGAAAAATATCAAATATGATTGAGGAACATTTATTTGTCTTATTTGTTCTTCTCTCAATCATCATAGTATTGCATTGCCCCCACAATAAAATTGATATTCATAAAAACGGACCTTTATATCATTTAGTGTAAATAGTCTATTATACGGTTTAAAAATTTCATTGATTTGCATTAAAAACTGTCAGCATTTCATCTTCCTTTTTGGCCATATAAATGACTACATCTGCACCAAACTGCATATTTTGCTCAGTTTGGACCTTGTTGTCTTCTTTCTTGAGTATAGCTCCATATTTCTCACTATGTCATACTATAATAAAAAAATATCTATCTTATCTATTATCTATCTATATGGGCCATAAAAGCCATATATGATGTATCAAATATGATACAAAACAAAACACATATGCAAGGTCATATGTATATAAAATATTAAATTTTGTCTGTTTCTTTTATTATTTCATATGTCAGACTTTACAGGGTTAAAATATCAGTTTTCCCACAAGACAAGCCGTTATCTAATGCTCTAGATGAACAGTCAGTTTCTTTATCTTCTGCCTGTTGTCTAATATGAGTAAATCTGAAATGGCAGACAGCGTGTAGAGAGAGCGTCATATCAGTCTCATGTGTTTGCAGAATCAAAGCCATCGAGAGCGCGACCAAAGAGGACGACACCAAATGGCTGACCTACTGGGTGGTTTACGGCGTGTTCAGCGTCGCCGAGTTCTTCGCTGACATTTTCCTCTCCTGGTTCCCCTTCTACTTCCTGGGAAAGGTATTATACAGTATAGAGCATTGTAGTAGCTACAGTTAAGTGCATTTTGTTGTAATAACATGTTAATGCTCTTATTATTAATCAGCATCATAATAGTTAATGCTAATGAAAAAGCCAACTTACTGAAATCCTATTTAAACTTCTTCTTCTGAGACTAAATTTTAAAATGTATCTCCTCCTAGACTTTTAAAGCTACAACCACCAAACTCGGGTCAGACCTCCAGACTGGTCTGACTCGGGTTGCTATATCTTTTCTAACTGATCCGGCTTACAGTTCTCGTAAACCAGACTATCAAAACCACCTAAAATCCCATAGACTTTCACTGCGACATTTATGAATGTCCTCATTTATAAATACAATACATAGTTTTTAGTATAATACTGCATATATAATATAATATTTAGGGCTGTCGCGATTCGTTGATTTTATTCGACTATTCGATTTTTTAAAATCCTCGACTTAATTTTGCTTTGACTAACCGGCAAAATACCGGAAGTGGCGCATTTCACGGACAAGAATCCATAAAACACATTATTAGACTGTTTCCCAAGGCTTCATGATATATTAAACCCATTTAAAAATCATAATTAAGCATAATTGTGAATTCACAAACGCTACGATTTAATTAATTATATGCAATGCCGTTCTAATACAGTATATGCGCTTTAATTATTTACATGCGTGTAGGTTGAGTACATGCGTCACACAGCGGCTCCGTTCACAGTAGTTTCCACAGGAACTGTTATCATTTACATGTGTGGAGCGTCCCAAACTCCATCTCTGCATGTTGTTGTGAGTTTGGGTTTATTATAACGTTCATCTGGGAACGCAACATGCGCCATTTCATCAGATTTGTAAGGTAAATCATTTATAAATCTACGCAAACACAGGAGAATACATCGTGGCTTCAAAATAAAAGCTCAAACCCTCACTCTGAGTTTACATGTTATGATGTCCACATATTCTTTTAATTACAGTGGCTATAGCATTTCTGTGCTAAAGAAATGGCCAAATATTAAAGATTAAGTGAACATTTGAATGAAATGGTGCTTGGTCAATATTAAACAAGTATTAGATCGCACAGCAATGTGTAAAAACAATCATCAGGCCGTTGGCGCCCTCTGCAGGCCTTTGTTGTAATGCGTAATGTACATTAGCTCTATTGTTTATA